TGAATTCTGGCGGAGTAAATTCTGTCATGAAGTTCTTTTTCTCACAGAAAGTGCATAACTAACCCTACAATAATGTGCAGTCAATAAAATCAAGTCGGATTCTATTCCAATAGTTCTTTTCTCGTACTTCTCGCCTGTGAATCTTCCTTCCAATTCCCTACCATATACAATCTTCAAATATTTTAATGCAAAACCAATCTCCATCTTTTGTCTTCCTGAACCCTGTTCTTTTTTATTGATCTTCCCCATATATATATATATATATATATATATATATATATATATATATAGAGAGAGAGAGAGAGAGAGAGAGAGAGAGAATCGAAACGTAGCCAGGTGCCCAAAATTAACGGGATATTATTTTATTAATTTTTTTTTTATATTTAAAAAAAACAAATCTTTACTTTTAAAAATGGTAAAGAAACCAAGGATATGGCTTCCATGTTTAAGACATGTCTTTGCCATTTGTTATTTTAAACTGGATACAAATTTCCTTAATATTTAAGCAGGGGATAAACCCTTCCCTTTTGCCTTATCGGCCTCTCAAAAGAATCAGATTCTTCTTAAATCCTTTTAAATGGAAACTGTTCCGTTTGAAAGCTAATGAGAGTATGTTTATCACAAATGAGGCCTAACATAAAAAAAATACCAAAGCACATCAAACATAGATTTCATCCAAGCTTAATCAAATATACAAAATAAAATGCTTATTGCTGGAAACTTCTTTATTATTTTCCAGTGTTTTAGTTATTCTACAAGTGCACCCCGGAGTAAAAATGGCTGAGAAAAACTGATGTACACACACACACACACACACACACACACACACACACACACACACACACTGTGTGTGTGTGTGTGTTTCAACTACACTAATAGAGGCCTAGCTCAACATATATCATTTTGGTATCAGGCCGATTCAGGGCCGGATTTGTGACCCGCAAACCTGAAATTTTGGATTCCCAAGTTTTCATTACTGCCATCATGGCTCCTACTGATAAAAAACAATTAACTCTCTAACTTTCAATAGCTCATGTCCAAATGAATATTACTGTTCTCAAATTACAGTGATCAAAATAAAATTGTCCGTGTTTTCAACTTTATTTCTAGAGACCGTAGCCCAACATATCATACCATTTTTGAATCAGGATGATTATGTGAGCAAATTAAAAACTTTTCGTGCCGGATGCGAGCGAGAAATCCTGAAAATTTGGATTCTCAAGTTTTCATTACTGCGTTTTTTACGGCGACTATTTAATGTGATATTTTGCGATGATTTTTTTTTTTTTTTACGATATAAAATTTGCGTAACCTGGGAATGAGCGAAATTAATTACGAAATCCAGCGATAATCACCCATGAAATAAAAATATTTTTTTCAAGCTAAGGACCTACGCACATCAAATTGTCTTTAAATTAAGTGGCAACAGAAGAATTATCGTTGAACTTTTTAAAAGGTAAGCTGATGATGGCCCAATCAAGAGCACAGCACAGGAGCTAGCTTAAATGTCGATCGATAGGACGGTTTTAATCTAGTATATATATATATATATATATATATATATATATATATATATATTTTTGTGTGCGTGTATATATATATATATATGTGTGTGTGTACAGAGAGAGATAGGATATATGTTCATGTACACATGTTCATGTGTTTATATATATATATATATATATATATATATATATATATATATATATATTTTGTGTGCGTGTGTATATATATATATATGTGTGTGTGTGAGTACAGAGAGAGATAGGATATATGTTCATGTACACATGTTCATGTGTTTATATATATATATATATATATATATATATATATATAGTCGACTCTCTCGTCGAATTCGACGTATGAGGGTCAAGCAGATCAGTTCCCAGCAAACCGACAACATCACATGAGATTTGATTATAGTGGTGAAGGTTTCGTGCAAGATCAGCCACACATTTTGAAGGGCCGAATTCAGAGACGTGGTGCGATAAGTGCCACAAGGTCCCCAAACGACCCTCGGCAAGTTTTGAATTCAGAGTTGTCCTTCTCCTAGACCAGTTGCAATCCAAGGCTATAGAACCCAGTCTATCCTGCTATTTACCCATAGCTGGAGGGAGAAGAAGAGGATTCACACCTTGCCCAAGGGTATTAGCCTGTAAGTGAATGTAATGGATTCGACTGGAATTCAAACTCGGCTCTGCGGATCCTCAATCCAAGCCGCTATCCATTACTCCACCGTGCCTCTCTCTCTCTCTCTCTCTCTCTCTCTCTCTCTATATATATATATATATATATATATATATATATATATATATATATATATATATATATATATATATATATAAGCAAATATATGGATAGGATATAGATCCGACAGTATGAAAAAATATACGGAAAAACAAACAAAATCCTAATATTAGGATTTTTGTTTGTTTTTCCGTATATTTTTCTTCATATATATATATATATATATATATATATATATATATATATATATATATATATATATATATATAACGTCTTTCGTATGTTATTAAATGAAGCATTCCATATGGATATCCAGGTGTTGGCATCAGTTCACAGCATACATATCTGGTGACGTTGATAAAGTCGTGTGTCTTAGTATATTTTAGGCTTGCATTTTCTTTGCCTTCTTAAGCATTCGTGCGTGTAGATAGTCTTTTGAGAGCGTTTATCGTCATGATAGGACCGATGCTCACAAGAAGGAAGTGGATGTTTTCAAAAGGCTTCTCCTTTAAAAAATAAAGTATAAATAAATAGATTTTCTTGACCAGCCAAACGAAAGTTGCATAAAAATCATAATAAAGATAAAATCAAGGGGAAATCTTTAAATAAACAACGAACAGCACAGAAACCTCTCTAACATCACTTCAAACGATAGCGGCAAAATAATTTTTTTTTTTTTGAAAATTCAAATCAAACAAGATATTATTTAATTTTTTTTTTCATTCTTCTTTATTCTTGCCCCTTTTTTAAGTTTTCTTTTTTTAAGATTTTAATATTAAAGATATTTTGTGTAATTTTATAGAAACGAAATAATGTTACGTTAATTCAGTTATACAAACATATATTCGTTGTTTTAAATTTTAACTGCCGTATAATCTAGTCTTCTTCTTCTTCTTCTTCTTCTTCTTCTTCTTCTTCTTCTATGCACCGCGTCCTTTCAGGACGTGGCTGAACATGACTTTCCACAATGTCGTCTCCTTTGCAGCTCTTAATAATTTTTGTCTTTTCGTTATCTCTCCTAAACCTTGTTCCGCCATGCATTTATTCAAGATTTTTCTTCTTCTATATGCCGTGTCCCTTCATGACGTTGGCGATAGAGGCTCTCCACTATTTCTTGTCCTTTGTAGCTCTTAATAAATTTTGTATTTATGTTATCTCTCTTTAAAACTTGTTCCACTCTCCATTTATTCAAGTTCTTTCTTCTTCTTGCAGTAACAATTCAGGACGTAGTCGACCATGGCTCTCAAAAACTTCCTGTACTTTGTAGCTCTTAATAAATTTTGTCTTTATGTTATCTTTCGTAAACGATGTTCCGACATCCATTTATTCAAGCTCGCGAGTTAGGCTATGTGTTTTTTTCCTATTTCCCCCACAAAACTAGATCGGCGGCAATGTGTCATCAATTCACAGTTGAATTGGCTAGATGTAACCGTAAGCTTTATGCTGATAGTAACTTTTCTAGCACTTTTCACCTGTGGAACACATTTCCTATTTCTTGCTTACTTGATAACTATAATCTTCAAAAATTTAAATCGTCAATCGCCATCTTCTGCATTGTCTTTTTTTTTCACTTTTCCTCACTAAATTATTCTCATTCTCTTTCACTCCTTAACCCCCTCCCCTAAACCTCCTCACACTTCGTTCTAGTGGCATTATCACATTGTCTGGGGTGAAAATGAGATGAAAAAAAGAACGACCCAGAACCATTCTATAAGAAAGTCACTTGCATCCAAACAATGTTAGAACTAGGGAGTGAAAATGAGCTAACGATAACACTTCACTACTGTTTATAAAGTCTAGCAGTAAAGGTTTTATGGGTTCGCGCGCTCTATGCAGCTTCTTCTATCATTTCGGTAACGATCTGAATATTAATTCAAAGATAAATAGGACACAATTAAATAGTAAATATCATCATTGTCTCCAGACCGGGTGTGTTCATCGGGTCCCTGTGCCGTTGAGCACATGACTAATCCCCTCAACAGATATGGGTCGAATGTCGGAGAGGTCTGAATTCATGCAGCTCTTGGACAAGTAGACATGGCGGAAAATTCCAGTGAATTTCAGTAAACAAGTTGATTTGGTGTACAAGTCAACCTGAAGATTTTTAGCTCAAAATTCTGATTTAGTCCTATACCTATCGTATAAGTACACCCAACTTTATTTATTAAACTGCCATTATGTGTCAATAAACTCTGATTACTATCATGAAATTGCGCAGATCACACGCGTATCATACTTAGTTTTCTGAATGGCCGCCTGAATTAAACGGCGCTTTGATCAGTGCTCGCAGTTAGTGTATAAGCTTTTTGAAGCGATGCCCGCTGTAGAGTTAATAGAATGCTGAATTTGTGTAACTATTTTATTTTTTATATTAAGTTCTGTGTTAATATGCAAATATGTTCAATAAACACAGGTTTTAGTGGGATATATTTGTAGCAGTCAGCTACGGGTATGGTAAGTGGGGTGTACAGTAATTGTTAGTAGTACAGTCCTTTGCATTTTATACCGGCCAATTTACGGTATACCTCTCCCGGTCAAAGAAGACAAGGCTCGCTTTGGCCACGAAAATCTCTGCCCAGGACGCTGACTTCAGTCTAGGAAACTCCCTGCCGAACGATGTTGTGTCATTAATCTCATATTGGTTGGTTTGTTTTTGTTTAGCAATGCCGAAATCTAAATATTTTGTATGTAGTTTGTTTTTTAAGTAATAATGATTTAGTGATAAAAGTTTTAATAATTAACCCGTATCACGATAAAAATCCGGTTCTCATACGATCACCGAAGTTAAGCGACGGCGAGCTGGGACAGTAACTTGATGGGTGACCGCTTGGGAATATAAGGTGCTTTAAGCTTGGATGGTGTACTAGATGATGTTTCAGAATTGGAAATCGGAGAGCTGAGTTCTAATTCTAGTCGGGTTCGTTATATTCACTTCCGCGCAAATGCCTTTGGGAAAAGGTATGAATTCACCTCTTCTCATCCAACTATGGGTTAATTCGTAAGATGTTTATCAATAAATCTTTATTACCTTGTCAGCAAACATTCTTACTACCTAAAATGATTTTCTGGCTTTAAATAACCTGCAAACGGTTGATAAGCCGTAAAAGATCCTTCATTTATTTACTCTAAACGCTGTCTAATTTTTATGTTTCAAAACCCAATTTAAAATAAATGCTTACTTTTGAAGGAACAAATGATAAATGTATTTTAGCTACTTGTAATTCTAATATGTCAATACATATTATACATAAGAGAGTATTTTTTAGAATTTGTCAGACCAAAGTTAGGGGTGCATGTTATAGATGAGAGTATATTATATATGAAAAATTACTGTATATTTCCTATGATCTAAGCTGTTCAGACTAAGACGAAAATCCGACGAATCAAGGAATTTTCTAGGGAAGTCTTATAAAAAGTCGATCTGGACACGTATTTCTTATCATAATGGGATACAAACTGCCTGTCCTATGCACTTACCTCGTTTCCCATTTACAAGATCTAATTTTATTTGAGAATCTTTCTGAAGGAATTATGTGAATGAAATCTCTTTGAACAATTAGTATCGGAAGTAAGGGATAGTTTTCCACAACATTGCAAGATGATACAAAACCCAAACATCAACATGAACATCTCGAATTATAATCTTAAATTTCTTCGTCAGGCGACAAACCCGTTCAGAAATGTCTGTCATCTAGATACAACCGTTTTCTCAGATCAATGATTACAAATGACTTTGATTGATTGAAACATGTGGACCCTGAAGAGCAGAACTCACGCAACAAAATAACAAATAAAGAACTTCCAAAAGTAACAACAATTTCAACACTTGATGACTTCCAACGGTAGCAACAATTAAAACGAATAGCACATGTAACTGTTGTGGTAGGATCCACCTAATTTGCATAGTGGAGTACCGACCATATAAATATGGTTGGTACCTGGAAGACGAGGGGAGGAATCAAGAGATTCAACCAGAGAGACTGCCCGACTGCGACTCAGTCAACACATTGTCCAGGAACGGTCTTCCCAAGAATATACCAAAAGACTATATGTAAATATTGTGTACACTTTCTTGTTTCAATACATTTTGTTCTAAGTACATTTTGTGCTGCATTATTATTCCATACATTAGTCAAGTTTCAACAGTAACTCAAAGAGAAAATAATTTCATAATTAAGGTGCTGACGTTGATTCCGAACTCATATGGGAATGACTGCAAAAACATCACTCTCCCTAAATTTCTAGACAATACATACAGATGAATGCTGCGATTTCTTAAACTAAGAACTCGAGTTATGGTCTTAAATAATCTTATCAGATTTAGATTCTCGTATAGATGTCATATATGCCATCAACCCGTTCAGAAATGTCAAAACTATCAGCTATATACAAACGTTTTCTTAGATCAATGATGAAACACTGCTCCAAGCGAATGTATAAAGACTGCACTCCTTCATCAGATCTTATAGACTGTTACTACGGAATCATTTTACCAATGAACAAAAGCCATATCACTTGAAGACATCCAACAGAAACAACAACTAAAATGGATAGCAATTGTAACTAGACGGATAAATAATGATATAATCAAGAAGTTGACTTTCTACACTACATTAAACAAAATATTAGGAAGAAAACTCCAGTTAATACTAGTAAATGCATTGACATTGAACTTGAGCTAAAATGGTTGACACATAAGGTCATCCATGAAAGAATAAAGTGATTCCAAAAAGAGCCAAGAACTCATTTCGTTCAAAGTGGAACTCTTTCTTTTTGTAGTATTGTATGCAAATTAGATAGACAAGTATAAATAGAGAACAACTGACGAACATACGGGCATTGCTTAGCAAACTCGTTTGCTAAATGTTAACGCGGAGAACTGTGTTACGACTGCTACTACACAGAGAGATATACTAAATATAACACTTTGATTAGAGTAAGATAGGTTCCGGTTAGTCGAGACTGGTATGGAAGTTCAAGTATTTCGAGTCCGACTGAAAGAGATCGGGTCTTGATTCTGATTTTCTTTCTCAAAAGACAGCATAGAGAACGCGAATTATTTTCCAGAATAAGATCTTGCCTTCACCTTTATCACCATAGAGAAAAATTCTCTAATGAAAACCAGTTTCTAGAGCTCGTATTTTCACATAGAAGACCGCAGAACTTTACTCAAAATGTATCAAACGGCTGCCTTACGAATAATGTTGAATATACAGGGTGTCCCTAAAATCTGTATAGTCATTAACTCTCTGTCTCTGTGTCTCTCTCTCTGTGTCTCTGTCTCTCTCTCTGTCTCTCTGTCTGTCTTTCTCTCTCTCTCTCTCTCTCTCTCTCTCTCTCTCTATATATATATATATATATATATATATATATATATATACTTGTCATGTTTTTTTAGGGATATGCTAAACGAGAAGGTGTATTCAATGAAAATGATAGAGACAGATTTTATAAATTTAAACCGAGCATAGCACTGAATGCTCGGTCAATGAATACCGAATGTGTGCTGAAAATAAAACTGCTAATATTACCATTACTGTTACTGTTTATGCACCAATGAACTGATATCTTTACTTTGCTTGATGTTCGTTTAATTTGAATCAATTCCCATCTTTAAACACTCGCCGCAGTTTAAATCAGGTGCAACTAGACACGGAAGGCGTCATATAAGAAGGCGGAAAATAGGGCGGGTAAATAGCATGTATGGAGGCTGGAATCCGTTCGTTTTAGTTACAGAAGTCAAAACACTTAAAACGACTAATATTTCAGTGAGCCTCCCTAAGCCAGCTTAATCTAAAACAAGTTTGCAAATCCAGACATTAAAAACCCATCAACAAATAGGGTTTATTTTTTGTGTATGTGTGTTTTTTTTTGTTTTTTTTTTTATAATCCAGTGATAGCCTCAGATCGGGATGAGCGAAGTGGAACACCGACATCGTATTTCGGCTAGGTTCGCTTCTATTTTCTTAGCACATACATCCTTGCGATTGTGGAGATGCAGGTGGCGTAATAGCTATCGGGAAGCAGAGTTCAAATTGCTGCATAGACTGTTGCGTTCACTTTCAGCACGGTAGACGAAGGAATGAACCCATCACTTTTCTCGAGTTATGGGATAAATCCACAGGTTTCGCTAGGTTGTTAATATCCCGAACAAAAGTTGCCGAGATTATTTTTAAGCTTACATTTTTGCTCTTGTATACTTGTAAAATAAAAAAAAAAACACTTTTATTTGCGTTGATAATGTTTATCACAGTACGAAACGCATCGGCGAAAATAAGTTTTCCTTTTGTCTTTATTCATATAAAATTACAAAACAATCTAATTGATTTCTATTCACCACAGTCCGAAAATTAAATCAGGACTGATCACAAGATTCTATCTCAGAACCCTTAGAATATGTTGCCAAGAATACCAAAAGGTGAAGATGAGAAATACATTTAGGCTTCTTCACCAGTCTCATCAGTTCAACTTCCTTATTAGAAAATGAGCATATAATGTCCACAAATTCAAAAATTCTAGACACCACCGACAGCACTCCTAATATCAAAGACACAAAATTCTCAATCCTACCTTGTAAAATTCGATCTACAAAACCTGTAAATAAATTAGTTATCCCTAATACTAGGATCTTTACCACAATGTCCAAGACAATCAGAGATATAATCAGGACGAAAAGTAAACCCAAAATAACATCAGATGCCGGTACTTATAAAATAATTTGCTTGCGAGATATCTCGAAATCTGAAAGCCCGTATCTCAGAGAATAAAAGGAATCTACATTTGGACAACTCTTTATATTCTCTCATAAAACACAGGAAGAAAACTGTCCATAGTTTTGGTTATAGAAATGCCACCCTAATTAAAAAAGAACATAATTATTTACATCGAAAATATTTCGAGGGATTATTAATAAATATTGTACCAACTATAAACACACGTCTAAAACACTATATTACATCACCAAGCATTATTGAATCCATTCTTAAAGAATTTAATGTATAACGTCACACATTATGAAATGGACAAAGTCCGACAATTATTTTAAGACATTTTTATGTTTAACATTCTTTTTATAGATGGTGTTTATCAATCCACCCACGGGGATCGAATGTGGCACAAGGCCTTTTTAATGTGGGTATGTCTGAGCCCGTAGGCCCAGCCAAAAATAAAACCCATCTAAACCCGTCCAAGCGGGCTAGTTCCGTCAACCTCCCCGAACTAAAACCCACCCTTCGGCGGAGCTTCGTCCGGGTTCCCCTCTGCAAGCAGAGAGTTCGACAGACACCCGACCCGGCAGCTCACAAAGCGCAGATACTACACTTTGATCCTAGCCACCGGGCCGAGCGGGTATTCTTTGATGTATTTATTGTATCGAAAAATACAATTGTGGCACAAGGCCTGAAAAGGGGAGGGGTTGAGGCTGGTCTTCACTGACTATCCTATACCTAGCTAATCCGATTCACGACCCATTCACTCATTACAATTTGCCCACTCACCACAAGAACTCATCCATCACCAAACAATCCTCCTTACACCATAATACCACATCCTCACAAGGGGGGACCTACAAAACGCGCCCCATGCAATTAAAAATTTAATGATAATTGTATATATATAAAAATCTCGTGATGAGGGATGAGAGGGGAGGGAGATGAACCCAATAATAAACTGAAAATATAAACATAAGTCAAAGCCACCGGGCCGAGCGTGTATTCTTTTTATCGATACAAATATTTAAGTAAATGCTCTGTTTATAATAAACAGTATAAAACAACATTTACCGGCCTGAATGTCCGAGAAATTTTCACAGAAAAATAGTTTTGGGTTTTTTTTATTTAAAACGCT